GTATTGTGGTCTTTTTCAATTAAGCTACATTATACAGGGTGTTTGAGAAAAATGGTCCCAATTTCAAAGCAGTATATTTCACGTTGGCAACATGTTACAATTACACAAAAACGTTACAAACCGTTTAATGAGTTAAATTTTGATTTAAAGCTTTCGTGACTGCAGTAATTCATATTCTTAGTTTTTTCGGTAAAGTCACGTTGAAGAGAAACAAAAAAATAATAAAATATATAAAACAATAAAAAAATTCTCACGACGTTTCGACCATAACTCAAACGGTCGTCTTCAGGTGTGTTGGTTCGCATACATTTATTTTTAAACGGCGCATTTATTTATTTATAAAAAAAACGTTAGCGCCACGCGCAACGATTTGGCAGTTTACCCAGGACTAGTCCATCTATATTCTGAAAAGAGGAGGGGGGAGACGAAATTTTTTATAATGTATGCTGTCTGAAAGCCACTGTAAGCGTGAACAATCAATTAAGACCTGAAATGGTTTATCAAATCTTTCCAATGATTGCTAAGATAGAATCCATCTTCTCGGTTGAAATTGTCTCTGTGCTTGTATATGTGGATAGCCTCATGAACGAATCTCTCATGGAAGCCAGATGGCTTACAAAGAACCTCTGTCTTGGAAAAGTCAATGGCATTTGAGCCTACTGAATTAGAACAATGATCTGCCACGGCCGAGGTGTTGGTCCTACCGTGTTTAAGGTCTGCTTTGTGTTCACAAATGCGGTCCGAGACATGGCGTTTGGTTTCTCCAATGTAACTACTACCACAGAGGCAACTTAGCTTGTAGACACCAGGGTATTGTATGTCCGGAATCACATCTTTTACAGACGGAACCAGATCACGGATTTTATGTAATGTGTTGAAACGGACCTGGATCTTGTGTTTATTCAAGATTTTGGAGATCTTTTTTGTGATCCCAGCAATGTAGGGTAAAGTGATGGTTTTGAAAGGCTCCTCAAGAGGGTTTTTCTTCATGGTTTGAGTGATAGCTTTGCGGATTGTATAGTCGGAGTAACCATTAGCCCTAAGAGCTTGGTGTACGTGCTTGAGTTCACTGCTTATGTGTTCCTGGTCGGATATGCATTGGGCTCTATGATACAGAGTCTTGATGAGAGAATTCTTCTGTGATGGATGGTGGTGGGAATCCGGTTTCAGATAAGCATCCGTATGGGTAGCTTTCCTGTAGACAGAGTGGCTCATTGAACCATCAGGTCTCTTTTTAATTAGGACATCCAAAAAAGGTATCTTGCCATCTATTTCGACTTCCATGGTAAATCTGATGGCTGGGTGTATGGAATTGATGTGGTCGAAGAAATGGTCTAGAGCAGGCCGGCCGTGTGGCCAGATGACAAAAGTGTCATCCACGTACCTCTTCCATAAGGTTGGGCACAGAGTGGCAGTCTGGATGGCGTCAGTCTCAAATTTCTCCATGAAAATGTTAGCTATAACTGGAGAAAGGGGGGAGCCCATTGGGGTGCCCTCAGTTTGTTTGTAGAAAGTTCCATTCCAAGTGAAGTATGTATTGGTTAAACAGTGTCTCACCAGGGGGGGTACCTCAGTGTTTAGTCCTTGATGAACTAAGTCTTCAATGATTGCAATGGTGTCAGGTACAGGAACCTTGGTGAATAAGGAAACTACATCAAAACTGACAAGCAGGTCGTCTGGGGACAGGGAAATACCCTTGATTGTCGATACCAGGTGAGTAGAAGATCTCCAAAATCTTGAATAAACACAAGATCCAGGTCCGTTTCAACACATTACATAAAATCCGTGATCTGGTTCCGTCTGTAAAAGATGTGATTCCGGACATACAATACCCTGGTGTCTACAAACTAAGTTGCCTCTGTGGTAGTAGTTACATTGGAGAAACCAAACGCCATGTCTCGGACCGCATTCGTGAACACAAAGCAGACCTTAAACACGGTAGGACCAACACCTCGGCCGTGGCAGATCATTGTTCTAATTCAGTAGGCTCACATGCCATTGACTTTTCCAAGATAGAGGTTCTTTGTAAGCCATCTGGCTTCCATGAGAGATTCGTTCATGAGGCTATCCACATATACAAGCACAGAGACAATTTCAACTGAGAAGATGGATTCTATCTTAGCAATCATTGGAAAGATTTGATAAACCATTTCAGGTCTTAATTGATTGTTCACGCTTACAGTGGCTTTCAGACAGCATACATTATAAAAAATTTCGTCTCCCCCCTCCTCTTTTCAGAATATAGATGGACTAGTCCTGGGTAAACTGCCAAATCGTTGCGCGTGGCGCTAACGTTTTTTAATAAATAAATAAATGCGCCGTTTAAAAATAAATTTATGCGAACCAACACACCTGAAGACGACCGTTTGAGTTATGGTCGAAAGGTCGTGAGATTTTTTTAATTGTTTTATATATATTTTATTATTTTGTTGTTTTTCTTCAACGTGACTTTACCGAAAAAACTAAGAATACGTTTAATGAGTTATCAAGTTTTACTAAACATTTTATAAATGCTCTATGTGCCCTCCACCTGCTGTACGGACAACATCGAGACGATAGTTTAATTCGTCCCAAACGCCTCTCAAAGTGTCTTCTTCCACTGAAGTCACCGCTGCCGCAATTCTGTTTTTGAGGTCATCCAGATTAGTCGCTAATGGTGGCACAAAAACACCACGGGTCTTTGACGTATCCCCACAAGAAAAAGTCGCAGGGTGTGGTGATGTCTGGGGATCTTGGGGGCCCCGAGTGTAGCGCCAAGTCTTGGGATCTCGTGCGACCTATCCAACGTTGAGGCAGTGTGTCGTGCGAATGACTGAGGCTAGGGGCTGTTTATGCACTGGGAGAGGCATCTAGCAGTAATCTATCTCCTGCCCTTTCAAGTGGTAAGAGTTTCATTCATGGGCGGTTCGTGGTTGCAGAGATATAGCGATTTCAAATGGGGTCGAGCCTTTTGAAACACCCTGTATATATAAAACATCTTAGAATGTGATGCATTCAATATATAACAAGCATACATGTTTGGTGTACGCCATTGGAACGTGAATGTGGTGTGGTGTGTAACCATACGAAATTTAAAATCCAAAACACCTTTACACCTGTGCTTATAATTTCGTTTGCAGTGATTGTCTTGATTTACTAAAAAATGTTAAAATGTATTTATTTATCTATCTATCAAGAACCCGTGCACACTTCAGCCACGTTTCAACAGACCAAAGGAACCGCGGTTTCCGTCGCTAGACGGCTGTACCAAAATTAAAACTCGACATGTAACATTTTATGATGCACATAATCTACGAGAGTCATTGTGAAACTTAAAAAATGTACCTTTCTTTCCAAACTGTAGTCATCCTTTCCGTCTCTGCACTCTGATTCACATGCTCCCTGCAAGTTTCCAAATATTATACTCCTAATGCCATGCACTTGATATATTTATATATGAGCATATTGTGGCTGAATGACAGTTAAGGTTTTGATCGAAAGTAAGTTAAAATGTATATTCGATGTGATATTTTACATTCTGCATACATTGATTTATTTCCATAATATAGGTTTTTGGGTTAGATTACGTATATATGTAAATGTGTCGTTAAAACCCGCCACCACCCAACACGGCCAACTAGTAAGGGTTGTCACATAAACAGAACGTGGCCAATTCGTCACTGGTACAACACGCCGGTGTGTTGGAGAGCCAAGCCACAACATTTACAATCTGATTACGATGTTTCGCCAGTAATTACAACTAGCTTCATCAGGCGACAGCCAGATTTGTGGAGAAGTCCATCTGTTTCGTTCCTTATATAGAGGCGTAGATGTGATGACCACACTTCTACGCTCTTGCGCAAAGTAGGGGGGGAGGGGATTAATGAGTCAACGCACATTATGCATGCGCATTTTGCAAGCCCTTTGATCTTGTCCTTCCTGTGTATTAAAATAGCCGTACCAACGGTAATCCCTATTGAAGTATGGTCGCCTGTATAGGCATGCATTTAGATAATGTATTATTTGATGAGTCGCTTCCACGCAGCACTAAGTCAGTAGCTATCCGAACCGTTAAATTATTTTTTATTTCTTTCAATTTCGATAAATTCTCTAATTAGTCTTGGCCAGTAGTAGCTAGTTTTGCACAGAACTTCAACAATATCAACATCAATTGAGTGTTCTTGTTGGCACGCATGTTCTGCTACTGCTGACAGTTGTATTTGGGAGTATTTCATATTGCTCTGATGTTTTTTTAGTCTCGTGCTGATCACTGGTCCTGTTTGCCCAACATAGCATTTGCAACAAGTGCAGTTAATTCTGTTCACACCTTTTGTTGATAGCTTCGGTAATACATATTTTGTACCATATATTAATTTCTGTATTTTATGTGCCGTGCCAAATGTGACTCGGATGTTTTATTTTTCCAAACATCTGGCTAGTTTATCAGTTACTCCCGCAATGTACGTATTTTGATCGTTTTAATTACTTGGGCAGTTTCAATGCTCGTGTTATTTGATTTGGTATATACTGGCGAAACATCGTACTCAGATTGTAAATGTTGTGGCTTGGCTCTCCAACACACCGGCGTGCTGTACTAGTGACGAATTGGCCACGTTCTGTTTACGTGACAACCCTTACTCGTTGGCTGTGTCGGGTGGTGGCAGGTTTTAACGACACATTTATATATTTACACAATCTAACCCAAAATACTCTATTATGTATGATATTGGTCGCGAAAGCCTACGTGTTAAACATATATTTATTTGTTTAGGCTCATCCTAATTTACTAGACACTTCATAATCGCAAAGCACGATATGAGCTCTGATCAATCCTGTGAATAGTGGCTTATCTCATGGATTATGGGATTTATTTTTGTGTGCAAACCCATTGCACTGCCAGTTCCCACATCACGTGTGTAAAATAAACGTTAACTTAAGAGAGCCATCAAAATAATTTTACCCTGGCTGAAAACATTAACATTGTTTTTTGTTTATGTATGTTTGCACTGTTTTGTGGCAAGGTTTTGTACAAAGTGTTTGACACTTTTGTGGAAGTTGGTGCCGAAAATATACAGACTGTGGACTACATGAAAGGATTTGGTAAGTCAAATCATACTTTCCGTTGTGTCATTGCAATGCATTTTAAATGTTTTTCCCTACAAAGCACAACTTAAATACTAATGTATTTTGAGGCATTATTTTTCTAACTCTCATTAACATTCAGAATCAGAATATTTATTTATCTTGAATAAATTCGATGAGCTATAAAGCTCCTTTTGTTCACAGATGTCCAGTGTGTGTGGGTCAAGGCCGTAATTATAATATATATATATTGGGCGGGGGGGGGGGGGACACATCCCCCCCAATATTCAAATATGCTTAAAATGTCCCCCCCCAATATATTGATATAAAATAGATTCATGTTTATATGATTGTGGTTATGGTTGTACTTTATGAATCCCTAATCTCTGCCATTACATACAATGAAGCAAGAAAAGGTATAAAAGAAAGAAAAAACAGAGCAATGTAATACAATAACACTATTAGACATTATTGTAAAAAATAAATAAAAAGGCCATCCCATGTGTTAGTGAATTTTTTAATATTTTAGGCAGGAAATTAGTTTTAAAATTTAGATTTTTTTGGGGGGGGGGGACCCCCAGACCCCCTGGAAGATTTGGTCCCCCCCAATGTTGACTCCATGGCTACGGCCTTGGAGTGGGTGAGAAAGTTGCAACAACAAACAATACAAAAAAACATGGGAGTGCAAAATATTGGAGAGGTAATAAAATCACTAAAATAATCAATAAAGTGTATCAGTACAAATTGCAAACGTATATATACATTTCTGCCAATTTTTCAACAATAAATGCAAGCTTGGGCAAGATAGCAAAACAGCAAAAGTCCCAAGCCAGAGCAAAACAACACACCGTCTCTCAATGAAATTGCACATTTTCAGTTATGACTTGGGGCTACCAAGGCTCTACTGTACTTCAATTTAGTTGATTAGTTATCGTATATGGGGTAGTGAAGCAGATGAAAACAAATTTACGTAAAAAAAATTATTGACAACCTTTGCCAATCCCCTTCTAAATGAAAGCATCTCCATACTCTGATGGTCCATGTTTTTTCTTACTATACTTCACCATGTCGGTCAATATGGGTTAGTGAAGGGGCAGGGGGGGAGTAGGTCACTTTGTGCTGATGTCCATCATGGCCCGGAATCAAAGTCAAGTCGTGGAGATCATCGCTGAGTGTGGCAAGACTGGGACTTTACTTTATCGCATTCAAAGTTCCATGTATAAGTATCATTAATTTATATGTCGTGTCTTACAGAAATACATTTAAACAGGTGTTGAAGTCGCCCTGACTGTTTTTCGCATCTGGCTTTCAAAAACCTTTTAGGCCGATATTCTTCGTCACGGCTCGGCTGAGGCTTGGCTCTGGCTCAAAGTGAGCCGGCTCGGAGCCATGCGCTCGACCTGAGCCGGCTCAGGATGTCCATGAGTGGAGCCAGAGCCGAGCCATGGCTGAGCCGCTCGTTCATGCGTCTCTAGAAGTAACCGAGTGGTTCAAGCCTCACCAGAGCCATGTTAGAGGCCGAGCCAGAGTCGGGCCACAGCTAAGAACATGGCCCCTAGACTATCACCGTGTTTATCTTTACATGGTAGTAGCTGCTAATACAGCTGGCTGCATTAAACATTTATTCCATCAATTAATTGTCTCAAATGTCTTAAATGCACCTGCCTCTGTTCACCCAGCAGAGCGAATGGGCATTCCAAAGTTAGTTGGTCGACAGGTCACGTGTGGATATCTCAGATGTTTAAAGGGTTCTGGCCAAAGTGGAATAGTAGCCGGGCAGTGGTGCCGCAAGCCTCTAATCCAATACTGTGAGAGGCGAGGGTTGGTGGACGTTGCAAATTTTGTGAAACTCCCTTCCCATAGTATGTATCATGTTGAACTTCTTTCGCACCGTACGTAACAATCCTGCTTATCGGAGGTGCGGGGGAAGGACGACAAATTAAACACTAAAAGCAGTTCTCAAGGAAATGAGTTTTCAATTTAGATTTAAAAGTGCATTGCGCCAGTGGCTTTCTAATATCGGAATCGAGAGTGTTCCAGACGGCCGCATGAAGCGCGCGACGCAGCGACCATCTCTGTTCGCCAGCTCGCCGTAGGAGTTGAGATGCCGTAACCTTGGCTCGCCAGGAGAAGGCAGTGCAGCAAGTTTTTCGTGCGCTTCGGTTTACTCCCACTTGCATAAACACTCATCATTCAATGGCTGAAACATTAAAATTTAAACGCAATGCAGGACCCACCCCTCCCCCCAACCCCGAAAAAGTCCTGGATTAAAAAAGAAAAGTTAAACAAGTAGGCCCAATGGAGAGGGGTCTCTCTAGATGTCTCCTGTCGTTAAAGTGCTTCTGATAGCTGTACTTAGATCTATCTTTAATACACATTTATGGTGGTTTAAAAAAAAAGAATATGTGAAAGTGACACTGCAGGTCAGATAAGATTCTGTCATATAAAACTCCCCATCGAAACGTAACTAAATATTGATTACAACATTTCTATTTGTCACAAATCAATTTACTTGCTTTCATTTGATTACATTACAAATGGTAATGCAATAAAGGGTCCTACTATATTGGACGTCTCCCAGAAGATTGTTTTTTTTACTTTGGGGGGTGTGGGGAGTTTGTGGGATGGGGGGGCATAGTTGCAGTGCATTATTATTGTAAGCGCCACACTTGCCCGTATACATGGGAAGTTCATCAGCACTGGGGACCCCCTGCGCCGAGGTCAATCCCAACGCCTGTCGAAAGCGAATTTCTCATCATGTGCGGCGCACGCGCTGGAGACTGGATACTCCATGCGCCTGCACAAGCGAAACTCCCGGCGGCTAATTACGAGTCCCCTGCAGCTTGCTACGAATACACAAACCGGGACGGCTGGGTGTGGTGGTTGAACGCGCCGGATTCCCGGCCACGGCGATGAACTTCGAGTGGCGAGCCGTATCCGAGGTTGTCCTGGGAGCCTCAGCTCAATCAACCCCGCAAGTAATCTGTGAATCAGAAGGAGTCCAGAAGTGGAGAAGTGCGTTCAAACGCTTTTTTAGAGAGGCCGTCATTCCGCAGTGGATTGGCAGGGCTGCGGGCGTTGTTGGTCCATATTCAGTTTTTGGGTTAGGCCAAAAACGCGCTTTATCAATCAATTAGCATGACACTACCCCGTGCCCTAACCGACACACAAATATGGCTCGCTGTGTTGGCTTACGAAACCCTACGTTTTAAGTTCACGCATTTTTTGTTTTATTTTATATAAAAAAAACAGGGTGCACTGAACAGTTGAAGGTGGTAATTATAGAGTACTGTACACTGATTCATCAGTCTTGGCACCTTTATTGCAGTGTCTGCCTCAGAGTTATGGCAACATCAGGCTTGTACACTATTAAGGCAATTTCTCATTGATTCCTTCATTAATTCTCCATTCAGGTTAATTTTAAAGCTGCAATATCTGCAGAAGAGAGATTCTTTGGCCAATGTCGGTGGATTTTTACAATTTCTGGAAACAACGAATGGCTTTAAACTGGGCCACGTGTATGTGGGTCTCTGAGCGTGCCTTGACCAGCCACGTGGCTCCCAGTATGAGGTTGTGCCAATGTGCCCTATCAATTTGAATAACGACTTCGCAGTCGTGGCGTTTTGGGGTACCGTACACGGTAGCTGGTATAGCAGCTGGTTGGTAGTAAATCACCGTTTCGAAACGGCGTTGCTGATTTATATAGGGCCGTCGTGCCGTGCGCAAGCGGAGAAAGTAACCATCAGAAAGTGCTGTGTTAATTTATCACGAGTCGGCTCAGTGCCCCGGCATGGTTGGCAAAGGCCCTGGTGTAAATAATTAATTGGGGCCCCCTGCCCCCCCCTCCATGCCCCCCCTCCCCCGTCCCTCCTGGCCCCGGGGGGCCTGAGCCGCTCCAGCCCATGGGTCCCGGTGCAGTTGCACCGCCTGCACACTCGCTAAGCTACGCCACGAAAGTAAGCTGACCTATTTAAAGGGCAGTCATGCAACTTCTCGCAGGGTCTTCCACGAGCGGGAGCTCTGGAGAATCTCTCTAAATGGCACTTGGCCTACTCTTCCACACTGGCCAAGCGTCCTGAAATAGGTGGCAAGAGTTAACCACACTTTACCCTACCACGTGCGACCTGCTCGTGGTAGGGTAAAGGGTGGGGGGTGGCGGGGTTAAGAAAAGTGCCCCATTGTTTAAACTGCCGCACCTGGAGATCGAACTTGCAACCGCTGGATCTCAAGTCCATTGCAACTGCCCGTTGCAGCCAGGGCAACATCTTGTCGCTGATGCGTAGTCATTATACGTTTGATTTGTGATGATGCGGTGTTGCGGTCGTGAAATTGTGCAGTTTGTGTGACCGTGCGGTTATGCAGCTGTGTGCCCGTGCTGATGTGGTGGTTCATTAATAACAGGAGCGTGGTGGCGGCGGTGGTGGAGCAGTAGCGTAGTGGTCATCGGGAGGCTAAACGGATGTGCGGGCGAAGGACAACAAACTACATACTAAAAGTTCACAGCTCCAGTGGCTTCCTACTATCATAAGGAAGATGGTTCCAGACGGCCGCAGAAGCGCATTTGACAGCGCGGCAACCTGTCTTTGTTCGACGGCGAGCCAAAAGCCACTGCTAGGATGAACAGGCGCCTTAATAGGTGCTCGCTAACGACGCTTGCCCCAGACAAGCCCTGCGTGTACTACACGGGCAGTGTGTTGGTGGTGGTGGTGGGAGGATTTTTGTCTCCGTGTGGCGGTGGCGCAGCTTCGTTCCTCGTGGTGAGCCTGGGCGGCACGGCGGTCGGAGTCGTGTTCGCGTTCATGCTGTCGCTCGTCACCCGCTGCACCAAGCACGTGCACGCCATCGAGCCGGGCTTCGTCTTCCTCTTCGCCTACCTCGCCTACCTCTCCGCCGAGATGCTCTCGCTCTCCGCCATCCTCGCGTGAGCAGCACGGCAGCAGCACAGCAGCAGCAACACAGCAGTATCACAGCAGTATCACAGCAGTAGCACAGCAGCAGCACAGCAACAGCACAGCTGTATCACAGCTGTATCACAGCAGCAGCATCACAGCAGCATCACAGCAGTATCACAGTAGTAGCAGCACAGCAGCATCACAGTAGTAGCAGCACAGCAGCAGCATCACATCAGCAGCACAGCAGCATCACAGCAGCAGCAGCACAGCAGCAGCACAGTAGTAGCAGAACAGCAGCATCACATCAGCAGCACAGCAGCAGCACAGTAGTATCAGCACAGCAGCATCACAGTAGTAGCAGCACAGCAGCAGCATCACAGCAGCAGCAGCACAGCAGCATCACATCAGCAGCACAGCAGCATCACATCAGCAGCACAGCAGCAGCACAGTAGTATCAGCACAGCAGCATCACAGTAGTAGCAGCACAGCAGCAGCATCACAGCAGCAGCAGCACAGCATCAGCACAGCAGCACAGCAGCAGCAGCACAGTAGTAGCAGCACAGCAGCATCACAGTAGTAGCAGCACAGCAGCAGCATCACAGCAGCATCACAGCAGCAGCACAGTAGTAGCAGCACAGCAGCATCACAGTAGTAGCAGCACAGCAGCAGCATCACAGCAGCATCACAGTAGTAGCAGCACAGCAGCAGCAGCACATCAGCAGCACAGCAGCAGCACAGTAGTAGCAGCACAGCAGCAGCATCACAGCAGCATCACAGTAGTAGCAGCACAGCTGCACAGCAGCATAGCAGCAGCAACACGGCAGCAGCAACATCGCGACACCCCCACGCGCCGGTTCTGTGGGCTGTGAAGTCAACAACCGTTGATCCGACTGTGTTGCAAGGGCAATTAAAATCTCAGTGATTGTGATTGCCCATGATTCAGTGCACTCCAGCCTTCCACAGAAATGTTTACTGTCATTATTTAACAATTCGTGACTTGCTTTGGTATGTTTAAAGTGTAATATTTACCGTCTCGTTTGTCATTTTGTTCTGTATTTCTCGTGCAGTTGTTTTTGTGTTCGTGCCATAAATGTAGCACCGGCACATTATTTGCGGGGATGGAGGCCTCCCCGCATCATGTCGGTTTGTGGAGGTTGTTTGACCGTACTTCACCACGCTGGTTGGTGGAGGGTTCAGATAACACTCACCACTGGTGCCTACCATGGGCTGGAATTGTACTCGGGTCGCCGAGTTCATAGCAGAGTGCGCCAACCCCCGTCACACCGCTCTGCCCCTCGTGTGTGTAAATATGAATCATTAATAATCAATTCTCGATCGCACGACTTAATTCGTGAATTTGGGAGTGAAGGAATGGATTTTAACAGATGAATTGATGCACTGTTACATGCCAATTTTAAATAAGGTGGTCGATTTTTGATAAGATGGAGAGTCGGGAATATTGGCAAGGAATGCACAGTTCTTGGCCATTTTCAATTCAAAAAAATTATTTCTCATGCGTGCAACGGCGTGACAGAGTGATCACACGTGTACCTCACAGCAAGAAGGAGCTGGTTTTGATTCCTGACTCGGGTGTCATTCTGTCTGGAGCCTATTTGTTCTCACCCTGTCCTGCCTGGGTTTCCTCTGCGTTCTCTCGTTTCCTCCGATAGCTACAATTACAATGGAATTGGTGTGTGGCAAAACATCCCAATGATGGACCCTACTGAAAAATCGTTTTCCTGAGCAAATTTGCAACAACTAGTTGCAATTCGAATTGTATAATTAATTCCAAGAATTTCCCAGCAGTTTATTTGAAAACAAATTTCACGTTCGATGAAACCGGAATGCTAAGAGACAACCCACGTAGGAAAATAAAAAAAAGATGCCCATATAGGTTCGTCTACTATGGGAGAGCCTGGAATCTACCAGTTGAGGTCGGCTGCAGGGGCTTCGCAGGACAATCACTTCGGAGAGCTCTGGGGGGCTGCTCGGCATCGAGGGGGTGGCAAGGAAGGAGGTGGTGGCCGACGTCGGCAAGCGGGCACAAGCGGCATCCTGTTGGATCTGGCTGAAGAGGAACGAGCGGTGGCAGAGCCAAAACAGGCAGGAGGGAGGCAGGAGTCGAGTGGTGGATCGAGGGGGTAGTTACAGGATGCTGGTTCTGCCGTCGAGCCCACCTGAGGTGTAGTGGGCTAATCGACGAAACACCGGCGAAGAGGTGTGCCCACTTGAGAATCCTCTGAAGTCCCCACTCAGCTCGGTCCCATTTAGGGGAGTAGTGCCTTGAATAAGGAAGGGGTGGGGGGGGGGGGTAGTGGTTGCAGTGCCATCCAGCCCACAGAAGCAGCAAGGAAGTGAGTACCTGTCAGGTGAGCGGGGGTCATCGATGATCCCCATCGTATTTCGGATAGTCTGACATACTCAGTGTGCTTTCACGACCCCCCCCAACCCCGTGCATAGCACCAGAACAGAAGGCGTTGCCTACCACATGTGCCACTGTGCCAGTAAAACATTCAGATGTAACGAGCAGAGGTCCGTGTCAGCAAGAGCTACTTTAAAATTCCAGTGTTTGCAGTGCCACAAAGCGTGGTGTTTGGCGCGTGTGTGCGCACTCACGCACACGCGTCCCCGGCCACTGTGTCCGTGAGTGGTTCGCCTGCTATAACCGAGCACATTTTATGAGAAGCTGGCCAGCAAGTTGTTCAAACCACGACTCTATCATAATTTTCCAGCACCTCCATGAAGATTTGTAGGATGCGGTTTATTGGTTATAGACGTATATATATGTGTCTCAACTACGCTCACACATGCAAATAAAATTATTCAACGGTAGCACCAAGAGACATGTGTAAAGAATGGCTTTGCGGGGGGTAATGGTGATGGGGCAGAATAATGTTCTTGTGGAAATGTAATAATTATAGTTATTAGCGCTGGGTTTTTTTGCTGTTGTTTACATCTGATTAGCCTTTGCGTCTGGCACATTTTGTACTCGACCAAATTGTACGGCGTTCATGATGATATTGCAGCAACTTCGGCTGATTTTTGTGGACCCATTCAAAGCCCCCGCTGTTCTTCTTTTCTTGGAAGTTTTAACACCCCAGCATTGTTGTGGGCATGCGAGTAGGATTGTCACCTCGAGTTCCAAGTGTTGGAAAATGTATTCCCAAATATATGATGCGACAAAATAGAACAATGTATTATGTAGCCATAGAAACCAAATTTACATTCTGAACGAGATAGTGTGTCAGCATTATAAAAAAAAATAACAAAAATCATACCTGCGGGCATCAACAACATTCGTTTTCGAGTATTTGGCTGCTATACATTTCCACTTCATACGCTACTTTGTTGAGCTAACATTTCTGACCAGGTCGCTTATGAAAAATGGGCTGTATAGCTCAGTGGGCATTACCTGGTATATATATAAAAATAAACTAATTTAGTTTGTTTTGTTTCTCTGGCTTCACGTATTGCCCATGCCGCCTCCAACTAAAAACAGCGCAATGATTCCTAGTCATTGGTCATTGACGCAGTTACAGTTCCACCAGGGACAGGTGGCCAAGTGTCTCAGAGGTCAGTGTTCTGGGCTGAAACCGCTGAGGTCCTGGCTTCGAATCTGGAAAGCCACCCATGATTCAAGCAGCTTCTCAAAGTGAGTTGCACGGTGGCTTGTCTCAACACAGTCACAAATGACCGCATAAAACTCCACCATATGAAGTTTGGGTTTAGTACTTTATTTGGCTAAAATCCCAATTCCGGTTTGAATGGCATGCTCTACACTTATATTCTAGCAGAGCTTGTCAGGAAATGCAACACCTATAAAAAGGCCACTTTCAAAGCTAAATTCAAACAAGTCCTATGAAGTATTGTTTCCCCAGGCCATTATTTGACACACTGGCTTCAATGCGACATTTCCAAGTGGGTTCTTCATCTCATCGAGAGATATCTGAAGCATCAATGGAATGGATTTGGGCAAAAAAAGTCACAAAACATTTCCATCAAGGTCCAGTCAGTCGCCCAGTGTCACCTAACCCATGCATATTGCTTTTTTTGCGTTGAACAGGGCCCCGTCGTTTGGAAGGAGCCCTCTTGCCAAGAATTTGTTCAACAAGCCCGACTTTGCTGATGAGGCCCAGGAGGTCAAAACCATTCTCGAATTTGCTTGATTGAATAGATGCTGCTGGAAAGTCATTAAGCCAATGACTTAGAAATTATACATTTGTTTGTGGAGACACAGGACGGATATCTGTTTACGTAGGTTATCACCCATGCAGAATTTTACTGCTGACAGAGAGGACCTGGGTATTTATTTCGGTGTCGCGTGGCATCTCCGTCTACAGGTGACATAAGCACACACTCTGTCCGCTCTCCGCCGTTGTGCAGCATCACGTTCTGTGGGATCTGCTGCAAGAAGTACGTGGATGCCAACATTTCGGTGCAGTCACAGACGACCATCAAGTTCACCATGAAGATGCTGGCGAGTGGCGCCGAGACAATCATCTTCATGTTCCTGGGCATCTCGGCCGTGGACACTCACAAGTGGACCTGGAACACCGCCTTCATACTGCTCACACTCATCTTCGTCTCTGTCTACCGCGTCATAGGTAAGGCACCCACCGGTGGCACCGATGAGCTGCTGGATTCCCGTTGAAGGTCGGGGTAGCCCCCCCGCCCCCCCGCCCCCCCGCTTCAGGTTCTCTCTACCAAGGTGGCAGGTGGCCCAATGATTTCATTGTTTCAGGTCATTTTTGTATGCCCGCATAATAACCTTGCATCCTCAGCGGTGGAGCTGAGGATGCCTTTCCAGATAACCTGGAGGTTGTTAGCTTAAATGCTGGTTGGAGGTTGACTTAGCTCATCATGCCTCTGGTTGTTTATAAAATGTGTCGACTTTGTGGGGGAAGTTAAGTGGCTGTCCTATGGACATATCCCCCACAATGGGGATATGGAATTTTCATACTGGCTGAAATTCCACCTCAATGCTCATTCGAGCAAGAAAACAAATTTTTGATACTTTTTTTCGGGCCAAATGCTGAAACAAATTGACTGTTGATTTCAACAATGCTGACATAACATTGAGTTGCGATTTATTTTCGCCTACCTTTTTTGTCCGTGTTGAAGAATTGCCACTGTGTACAATGCGAAGTCATTTCAACATCTTTTCGTTTTCCAAGATGTCTGGTTAGTGTGGAAAATTGGGCCAAGAAAATGCGCTTTGGATGTGGCTCTCGAGAGCTGCCTCTAGAGGAGGCCCTTCCACCAGCAAGAAATTACAGGGCTGCACTTTGACCCTTTTTGCAAATATATGGACAGCAGTTTCAATTAGTTCCAACTAGTTCAATTATATTTGAATATTTCATCCTATCCTGTTTCTACACAACTTATTAATGCAGTCCCTTAAATAGTTAATTACATACTCACACACATTTGTAAAATGAACAACTTTTCATTAGGATTGACTGGAACAAACTTCGCTGGAACAAACTTCCCCACCACATTAAGCAATCACGTTCGCTCAATAGTTTTCACACCTCCCTCAAAACTCACTTTTTTTCCCATAGCTCACCCCACAGCCCATTTAATCTCCTCCTCATAACCACCACTGCCGTTCCTGCTCCCTCTTCCATGGCTCCCACCCATTACCCATCCATCCAATCCATTCATCATCGCCATTTGCTCTCATAGCTAATTCACGCATCACAGATTTGCCCATTATTTCCTCTCATCGATTGTATTCGCCTAATCTCCACCATTACATTAATGTGTACCATTCTTAAGTCTCTGTAAAGCGCCTTGGGTCAAGGCGTTGTATATATTACGTTAAGGTAAGATAATAAAACCACAAACAAGTGGGAAGGCAGCCAGGCGGTGGGTGACTTGGTGCCAACAATTGCCCAAGCCCTGCGATCCTCTGTATACCAAGATGTTTTCAGCCAATTAACGAGTGTTTATACATGTGTAATGACTCCGACGACAGTAAATAAGAAGAGCCACTTTTATTGAGTCGACACCATCAGTAACCCTATTATAGAATTACACAATAAGGGACCCTAGGCTTCTTTGGTGTCTTCCAGCTTGTATCTTCCTCCGAACCTCCCCACTCCTCGTGCTCTCCCCTTATATATCCCTCAGCCCCCTTTCTCGAATGTTCCCTCACCCTATCTCCCTTAATCCCTGTCCGTTCCCTCTAACGGATCCAAAACCGTCGCCTCTGGGTTCAACTTTGTTTCCCGCCTATTCCCCATTAAAACTTTTCCTCCAATCACTTCAAAAGCCCTGCCTGCTGACCAATCCCTGTGGAGGCCTCTTTCCCCCAATCGGAGACCTTGGTTTATTTTTGAATAGCCGTTAGGCTGCACATTGGCCTAGGGTCATTTTCGGTCATTACGCGTGTGGAAAGAAAACCGAAGTGAGCGGAGAAAACCCACGTGCGAGAGTTTGGGGGGACCACCCTATCCCAGTGCAGATGGAGATCACCTCCACTAGCTGTACTGCCAGCTTCTGGCAAGTCGGGGCACGGCAGCTCGACGCCGCACGTGGAAGGCAGTTTCACGATATTGAAGTTACAGGCCACGCGCATAGTCACCGACAGATTGGCTGCTATAAAGTGGGCGACTTTTCGAAGGGCGTGGCCGGGATAGCCTTCGCGCTCGCTGTTGAACCACTCTGCACAGGGTCGATGGTTTTGGGTTTGCGGCTGCCCATCAGTTCCCGAGAGAATTCATGAAATGCACCGCCACCGGGGAACGACGTGGATAGTAATGATTCTGCGACTGCGTTTGTGCATACATTCCACCGTCGGCTTGTCTCGGAGTCCACGTTTTACACTGTGTTCAAATAATCTTCAAGCAAATGTAGCTTAAAGTTATCCTGCTCGTCAACAGTTTTTCATGCTTCGCTTACATTTTTCTGTTTTAGATCTCGATGGACCATCCACTTTATATAAATGAAGGTTCAATTGAATTAAGCGGGGTGTAAGTAAAGCTCTTGATTTTTTTCTATTGATGTGAAGTAGCATGGGAATTAAAGCCACGTTTCATGCTGGATGTGTCCTGCCAAATTGGCAAAGTGCGTAGTGCGGTGAAGGCAAAGGATTCGGTGCGGCATTTACTTTCATCGTCCCTCATTAACGTTGAAATGCAAGGGTTGTTTTTTTTTCGTCTTTTCTCTCGGGTAGAAATTGCACATCTCAGCAAGTGAAATCTACAATGGTTAGGAGGAGTGTGTCTTCATTATGGCTTCTTCAGTACGGGGTATAATGCACAATTCAGCGACACTATAAATACGTTTTTTTTACCGTGCACAGGTGTAAATAATCACTTAATAGAGGCTATAGCTTGTGGATAAATGAGAAAATGCATATAAGCAACGTGAATAAATATATAGTTTATTAAATATATAAACAGCAAAATGAATACATATTTAAATGTAAGAGTGAGGAAATTAAGGTTTGTCATCAATTATTTATCGTGCATTAAATACAAGAAATTTTCACAATAGTTCAGCTGAAATAATTATAAACACAAACATCATTAAATATGCATACAGAGGCGTTGTTTCTCTGTGTGCCTATGCGTGTCTCTCTCTCTCTGTGTGTGTCTGTGTCATCTCTCTCTCTGCTTATGTGTTTATGTGTCTCCGTGTCTGTGTATTGTCTCTCTCTCACATTTAGCAATCTTTGGAAGAACGTAATAAACCAGGTGGGGTGTTGACTGTTGTGTTAGCCGACTCTCTGTGTTGTATTGCATTACATTTCTAAGTTTACTCGGTTTGTTTTCCCTTTCATTTGTACCTGATGATGATTGCTTGTGTTGCAATCGAAACATCGTATGCTATTATTTAATGTATTTTTCTTTCTACGTGACTTTACCGAAAGAACCAAAGAGTGATACAAGGAACGTGTTTACATATATATTTACAACGCACATACAGTGTATAGCATACACGTGCAGCCCTGCTGTGAAACCACTGCTAGATGGAGGGATCCCCCACACCATCCGAGTCACGGGGGTCATGCTGCCATACTTCACCACGCTGGTCCGTGCGGGTTACGTGAGTATTGCAGCGGAGTCAATGGTTTTTGCAGCAATGTCCCCTGCTGACAGCATCAAGGAGTCAGGCATGCTAAACAAACACACTGCTGGTTTACCAGATGTTATTGGCAGGTGTCCTCTCAACCCGTGGGGCGCCAACACAGAAAACAATATTTAAGTCGAGATAAAGAGCAACAGTTTGTTGCATTACTTGGAATGCTTCACTACAGCGTTCTCTGAGGTTTTTGTAAATATCACTTATACAAAGATAAATGTTCCCTGTGTAGCATTTGACAGACTTTTTGAGTCAAGTGCCGTTGGCGAGCATCTTTAAAGAACGGCATGGTGCACAAGGGGTGGTGTGTGACCATTATTCCACCTAGCAACCTTTGCATATCCACAGCTGACTTATCCGCACCGTGTCATGTACTAATTTAAGGCATAGTCGACCTCTGGGTTCCACTTTGTTTCAGATATCACTCGCCACTGATGTTACCTATGGCTGACAATTGATCCGATGTCACGGTGCGCTAACCACTAAGCCACTGCTGCAAAGGCAAAAGTCCCCCGTATAGCCTCAACATAGTTTTGGGGCAAAGTGCTGTTTGCAAGGACTTATGAAGGCTGGCATGCCACATGAGGGGATGGGTGGCGAGCACCACGCCCAGCCGCCTTTGTCTCCCTCGGGTTCGATGTTTACACACCACACCAGGTACTTGTTTGAGACTGAGTCGACCTAGGCGAGGCCCGGAACCGTTTCAGATAATTAATCATTCCTGATGTTGGCCGTGAGCGGTAATTATCGAACTCGGGTCGCTGGGTTCATAGCGCAGCGCACTAACCACTATGTCACTGCTCCCCGCATAGATTGACACATGCATTCATCCAGACAAGCATTCCAAGGGCTTTGTTGGTGGTCGTGATGGTGGTTGTGGAAGGACAGAATGAAAATATTGAAAATACTTCATCACAATTATAATTGACAGAGTTTCGTCTCGTAACTGATATTGTGTGCGTTTAAATTGCCGATGTAAAGTTCGCATCTTGGGTAAAATGGTCCTCCTTCAGACATATTTTTGTGTTAATGATGACTCAAGTAAATTCTGTTTTAACATTTTCACGTAATTTCGTGCATACATACACACACACATTGTTACATGTACAGGACATAGATGCCACACAAAATTCACACACTTATTCAGTGCATACTTAGCTCTGTGCGATGAATATATTTTTTTATTTCTCTCCATCGGCGCTGCATCCCAACATTACTTATTTATGGATAACATGAAATATGTACCTTTTTGACATTGGCTGTGAAATATTGCAAATTTTGACTGCTGCATTTTAGGCAAGTGCCAAACGTGTCTATAGGACAATCGCGCCGTTGATGAATTTTTGTTCCTCTTGGCGATCGTTGCCATACCTGTGATGAGATGTTGCACAAGTGCATAATGGTAATAATTGTTTTTATATATAGTTAGTTTCAGATAAATGCACCAACTTAATTGAGAGCCCGGTCACCCAAGTTCATTCGTCAGCTTGATGCATGATTCAGTTTAATGTAAGCC